TGTTTCTCATACAGATAACTAACGTCCTTCTGATTCATATAGTGGTCAATTTTATGCCCTGTAGCATGAGTATTGCTATAGATTGTGTAGATGCATAGCTCAAAAATAGCAGTCTAAAAATGTTGTAACATTTTAGATTTTAACCACAGTTTAAGTACCGACTTCTGTGGTGATAAATTCCATAATATAACAGCGGGAATATAAGTGGATTATACTTCCTATGATTAAAAAAAAAACAACTCCTCAAGTCAGAGAAGGCAGGAAGAATTCATGTAACCAGAACTTCCTTCTGAAATAACTAGCAATTTATTCTTTAATCAATTGCATGCCTACTGGTATCATTACCAAATGGAAAAATTTTAGCGGTGAATGAGTTACGTAGTATAATTTGAAATCATCCTCACTCTCCCTGAAAACATCTTTTCTGCCCATACTTAAAAGCACAATTTTGCACTAGGTTGAATTTAAGTTTTATACCGAGTTTTCAAGGAATTTAATAAGGATCTTAAAGTTACCAAGCTTAGTAATTAAGTAGTCTGACTTGCTATTACCAGTGAAGGCTAAACTGCTGTTTTTGCAGAGGCTTTATGTTTGTGAAATGGTCTGTGGCCGTTCTGGAAGCTTTGAGTATTGTTAATATTACACCGTAAACCGTTACACAGGTGTTCTGTTTGAGATTCTGTGTTCGTATCTTTTTTTTTTTGAGGGCAGAAAAAGAAACCCTTGCTATGGCGTCTTTGTGCCTTCATGATCTGGCCAAAGGATTCCCTCCAGCAGGAGTAGGGACACCGCCTGCCATAAGTTATGCAATGCATTAACAGATGCCCCTGAGCGATTCTGTTACCCAGAATTTACAGCTATCCTTCCTTCCGTTTGCTGGGTCACCTTCAATTCTGCCTGAGCGGAGAATTGCTCTGCCCCTCTGTATTGCAAGGGGATCCATGCGAGAAGTTTCATACCTCAGTCCTGCTATAGCTCTGTGAGATTTTTCTTTACAAAGCCTGTAACAGTGGGATGCTGATCCTGTTTAAGGTCCTGTAAATTCTGCTTAGGTGACCCACTGAACGAAAAAGACACATGATAGTGACTCTCTCTTAGTATTGGAAACCTGGATTTATTTACCGTATGCTTTCCTTTGTTCTTCTAATTAATGTTTCATTCACTAATGTTAAATGGGGAAAAACGATTCCTAACTGTATCATCCATACATACGTAGGAAATCCCTAGTGTTTTGTAAAGACCATTTCAAACAACTATGAAAGCAGAGGATGTAGCTTGAAAGTTCCGCTCTGAAAATGGCAGTGCTGACAAATTGTGTTTCAAGCATTATTCAGAAAGGATGTTAAGAGATATATGTGCCAATACTGGGAAACAGGATTCACACAAATATTTTTTTTTTTTGGCATTCGTACCTCAAACTTTTCTATCACTTCCCTCTACAGGGAAAGTAATGACTGGAATCCATCTATGGGTTCAAGATTGGTGTATGTAGTCAGAGCCTCCTTAAATTAAAGGAGCTTTGTATGCATGCTGCACACCAATTAAGCAAATGTTTTGTGGAATTGGCATTTTAGATGGTCATAAATAGATAACCATCTATTTTCACAATTCTTCTACTATCTATAAACTATCTATAAAATACGGTTATAACAATTGGTAAACTGACAATCTGGGACCAAATTAAAATTTTCACTTTCTTTTAATGTTCAGTAACAGCTTTTGAAGTGTTGCTGCAAGAATTGTGTTGTTTTTATGGAGCATACTAGCATCTATAAATAAGTATAAAAAAGTAGAACTACAAAATTGATTAAAAAAGAACATGAGGCAATACATGCTAGCATTTTCATTGAGATGGTATATTTAATTCCAGTTTAATCATTTGCCATGCCTTGTCTGTAACTAGCATGCTGGGTAACCTTTCAAAGTTGGGTTTAGAATTAAACTGTTGTCTCAGTGTGATATGTGGCTATGAAGAAGTGCCATGGTCTGGTGCCAAAATAATTTTGGAGCATAAGGGTCAATGGCAGAATTTTTTAATAAAAAAATTAGGAGATTCAATCAAATATTTAAAAAATAAGCATTGACATTTTGGAGACGGAGGTGAATTTTCCAGATGATGTTTCTTACAGTACTCGCCAGGTCAATGTGTTGCAATTATGCTTGATCCTCCACATTCCTAAGACTTGGTGTTTACATCTGGGAGTTCACTGATAGGAAAGTAAATATATAAGCCAGTTGGATTGTAGAATCTAGCCATTTAAATTTCTTTTAATTAAACCTTTTGAATGGAAGGTTGAAAATGTCTTATTTATCTTCCTGCCTTTTACTGTATTAATGCGTATGTTTTACTGTTTGGAATATGACATAGTTGTATATGGTTCGGGAACTAAATTTCCAGTGATACCTTCTGACTATTCCCTATTGAGCTACAAAAGAGAGATTACAGGTCGTGAAAGGGACATTGATCAAGCTTCTATGACTTTGTAAGGGTCAAACTAGTCGCGATTCCATTAAATCAAATGGAGCCTCTGTTTGAAAGGTTTAATGCGACTCCCTTCAAATGCTTATGTTACAGATATAGTATTTTTAATATAATTGTGAAGGGAGAGGGAATTCCACACTGTAGTGTTCATTTGGCAGTTAACGACCCTAGAAAGCTTTGAGCCGTTTCATCAGTTGTTGCTTATTTTGAAGGCAGCTAGATCTCACAAATACTACATTCTGGTTTGTGTCAAACTGAGCATCCTGGTAGATGAGACCAGTTTAGTTCAGTTCACTAGTGGGGGAAGACAGGGGAATTGAGCTTTTCCCTTCTGTCTCTCAAAAGCAGCTGTCCAGTCAGGGTACTTGTACTCGTTGGTAGTCAAAAACCTGTTTCTTCAGTAGCCTGGGGAAAAAAAAAAAAGAGATGGACAGGTGATCATGGAGAGGAGGTGGAGGAGATGCAGGAGATGTTGGATGTGAGAGAACTCGGGAAGTACTGTGGTCAGTATTGTGTGGGATTTGGGAAAGCTAAGGCCAGAACTGAGAGTTGCTCAGTTCTGGTACTAATTTCGGTCTAATCCAGGTGAGTGTCTGAAGTCATTGCAGTAACTTCTTTAAAGAAATAGGTTTTCTCAGACCAAATGGCCATGCGATATCACGTAAGTCTAGAGTATTCAGGAAAACTTAAATCAGTTGCTTGTAATTTTGGACTCGATGCTCCTTATGAGTCCCTTCCAACTTGAGATATTCTGTGGTTCTGTGAATTTTTAATGTAATTCTGTGAGCTAATTTTAGACTTTAGTGAATGATACTTTCTTATTTAATGCTTAGTGAATATGATGATTCTATACTTACTGAGCTAATAAGATTTCTTCATGGGCAGTTTGCCGATAAAGAGTATTGCCATACCTCTCATTAATATGTAGACATGAGGATCTTGTATTTAGAATGAAAGATACTATTAATTGTTTTTAGTTCCACTATTTTTCTGTCATTGCTCACGGCAGCACACAGATACTCTGGTTTTCTTACTATTTCTAGTTAGTGAGGCATTAGAAATGCATAGAGGTACTGTTTACACTTTCTAAAATGTTACACCTTTTCATACATAATTCATCTCTAGTGTTAACACATTCCTGGTTACCTTTGTATATTCCACCCCTGAATTCCATATTTTTTTTAGTATAAGGCATTACCTCAGCATAGTGATGACTATGGATATTAGTATTTGGTCAATCATCTTTCCATAAAACAGACATGTTTGTAGAACAAGCTTAACTAAAATCATATGATGTTAAGCAATGTCTTTGAAATGCTATGAATTTCTAGTTAGACTAAAAAGTGTTGAAAAACTAGCTGTTCTCTTTGTGTCGTATCAATGTGGTTCAGTTCACACTGTTTTTAAGTTCCTGTCTTTGCTGTTAAGCAGTATTGTTTACCTATTATTGTTTTTCCAGAATATAATGCTTTGAACTAGCTTGTTTGCTTGTATGCAGGAATTGAGCAGTAGCTATCACTTGGCTGCTGCATGGTCTGCTTAATACGTAAAAGAATAGTTTGAATGTTCCCCAGACTGTACGGACGGGAGAGGGACAGCTTATGCTGATTTACAACCAGTGAGTTTAAGCATCAATTAAGTAATATGTTGCACTTGAGAGGTTTTTTTTCTTCCCTTTTTCTCTTTATGAAGCAAAAGAGAGCTTTCTTTGGTTTGTTAGACAGTATTTATATTAGGGTGCAGTGTGAAATTGCAAGTCATGATGAAGAGGATTCTGTTCAGAAAAGTGAGTAGCATATAGTTAATAACTTCAGGAAAAATGTGAGAAGAATAAATCCGTTTGAATAATTCATACTCAATTATACAAGAGCTCCACTGGTTTATTGTAACTTAAGGTACTTCATAGTCTATATTTCAGTTGAGAGACTTGGTGTTATGACAGATGTAACATGTAGAAAACAGTAGTATTACTTGTCATTGGCGGTAAACTTGCTTTTAACGATTGCTTACCCATGTGGCTAGCAATTGGGATGCAAATATTGCTTACTTCTTTTGTTCTCTGTTTTAACATCAACATGTAACATTAACATACAAGCTAGTTTATACTCTGGGAAAGCATCTTGGCTTGAATGGAAAACTTCTGGTGTATGTTCTCAGCTTAAAAACCGTTGAGCCAGATGTGTATAGCAACACTTTCTTAGTATGTAGGGCAAGAGACTTGGGAACAGCTTTTTCAATAGTCTTAAAATTTTATTAATTTCTGATAATTGTTTAAGGTTTTGTATTTAAAATACAGCAATAGGATAAACAGGATGAGCATATAACATTTAGTGTCAAAATCTACTGGTCTAAAACTTAATGTCAGGTTATATTTAATGTGTTTGTATCTTCCACCAATATTAAACTCAACTATAGTGACTTTTCTGTGCATGTACTCTAGAGCTAATGTCTGTTAATGTTCTTAGGGGATTTTGTAAATACTCAACATTTTAATTATATTATTATATTTTTTTCTTAGCTGGAAAAGAAGGAAGCAACCCCTCCATTCCAGCCTCAGATCACAGATGATTATGGTTTGGATAACTTTGATACACAGTTCACCAGCGAACCTGTGCAGCTAACCCCAGATGATGAGTATGCTTTCCTTTTTCCCCAAATACAATTGCATATTAAGAAATTAATTTATGAATTACTTGCAAATTACTAAGAAACTATGTACTTAGCAGTCAAACATAGTCAAAGTAAGTTTGAAGTTCTTTCTATCCTACATATCTTGCATAACATTGTACTTACGTTTTAGAAGACTGCCTAGTACTCTAATAAAGAGTACAGTGTTGATTTGCTGTTGAGCGTATGCTTGGCACTGGAAGAAGAAATGGAAATTTGATTCCTGACCCAGGCAGCTTGTATTTCTGTACTCTGGAGAAACAATTGAGGCTCCTTGGGGCTCAGAATAAGCTCGAGATAGCAGGAAAATCTTACAGAAATCTGCTATTTAACTGTGCTATGGAAAAATGTTGCAGGAAGAAAAAGTGTGTTTTAGTAAAGGAATTTGAAGGCTGAGGAGTGATTGCTGTACGTGAAGGAAGATGTTCCTTTGGATATAAGGTGGTGTATAAGAATCACAGAATCATTAAGGTTGGAAAGGACCTTTAAGATCATCAAGTCCAACCATCAACCCAATACCACCAAGCCCACTAAACCATGTCCCGAAGTGCCTCGTCTACACATTTTTTGAAAGCTTCCAGTGATGGTGACTCTACCTCCTCGCTGGGCAGCCTGTGCCAATGCTTGACCACTCTGTCCGTAAAGACATTTTCCCTAATATCTAATCTAAACCTCCCCTGGTGCAACTTGAGGCTGTTTCCTCTTGTCCTATCGCTGGTTACTTGGGAGAAGAGACCAGCACCCACCTCCCCACAACCCCCTTTCAAGGTAGCTGTAGAGAGCGGTAAGGTCTCCCCTCAGCCTCCTCTTCTTCAGACTGAACAACCCCAACGACAGGCTATAGTTTTGGAGACGTAGATTGCCCAGAGTCTTTAAGAGAATAATTGTATACAGTTTTGAGGGTTTACTGAAATGTAAAAAAAAATCAAATTGGAACTTGAACTTCCTCTGAAAAAACAAGAGAAAGCTCTATGCGATGGGGGAAGATGTCAGAGGAAAAAATGGTCTTGTTGACTTCATTCGTCTGATAATAAATGTATTATCAGAGCTTAGAGGGGAGGGTGGGCCAAATGACATCAGTGTGAGAATTGTAGTATCTAATTGCTGAGGAATGAACAGTTTGGGGAGGGTCAGGTCCATTCTTTTTCCAAGGTGCATTTTTCTTTCAAGTCTTGAGTGTGTGACACTAATGCCAGATGGCACTTAGAATACACTTTTTAAAGAGCTTCAAAATACTGTTTCTCACTAAAAAGCATAATAATGCGTGTTCTGAAATTTTTCGTGCAATCATCGAAAGTACATTGAAATGTTCTGCTGCTTATTTAGCATTTTGATACAAAAGTAAAATGAATCATAGGGTACTTGGAATCCTAAAATCTGTGCAGCTAGGATTTTTACGTGAGCTTTACTGTGAGAGAGCAGCAAAGGTTTCCTTGCATGTTACACATTCCCCCCCCAGTATATTTCATTTGTTTGTTTTTCCTTATCTGACCAGATGCCTCTGCTGAAGACTCTAATGCATTCTTTTCCAAATGTTTTCAGCCTGTTGTCCTGTTCACCAGTTTCATGTTTGAAGAAAACCTATTTCTTAAATTTCCAGTGCTTTGCATTCTTTACAATTTCAAACTGGTCTGTAGAGCTGCTGATTGATGGTGTTCTAGAATGAATATGTGGGTCTAATCAGTAAAGCTGATTCTAAAGTATTGTGTTTGGAAATGGGATTTTAATAATGGATTTATGACTTCTTTCTTAGATACTGTCTGAAGTACTGCAGATAGTGGGATGCCATGTTGGCAAGCAGAGGCTGTTGCATACTGTCCAGAGGCTTTCATAATTAAAGGCACAAGATTGTCATATTCTAGCCTATGTGCTTCTATTAGTTTTCCCTCTTTGTTGCTACACACAAAGCTAAACTGCCCTGAAAGAAAGGCAATACCGTTTCAAAGCTTCTTTCATAAAGTGCCTGGTCATCTTAGGTCAACCCTCAGGATTAGCTAGTTGGTCGGGGAATTTCTTTTGTACAAATGTTACTTGATTAAATTTGTGATTGTAAAAATGAACGCTGTAACTAGCAATCCACTGAGTCTACTCCAGTGGCAGTAAATTCACTGTTGCAGGGTCTTTCTCTTGCTGCATTCTTGGGAAGCAGCTGTTCAAGTAACTGTATTTGGAGATTTCATTGTGGGTATTTGTGTGCTTAGGTGCTCAAGCTTGAATTTTGTAAGGTGCTACCTATGTGTCATAGATCCAGAGTTCACAACCTATTCCCTCTTTCTCAAGAGCCCAGCATATATGAAGTGAATAGCTGAATGGAAATGGAAGTGTGAAGTGCTTCAGTTATTGTTTTTTATTGTATTGTTGTTATGTGTGACACCAAAGAACTGCAAGGCATATTCGTGCTTTACAAGTTCTAACTGACAACAAAACTGCAAATACCAAGTGTATAAGCACCTATAGCAGGAAGCTTTATGAACATCACCTCTTAAAAGATATTACCTCTTTTTTATATCCATCGATTTATAAGTCTTCCCCTGGATTTCCTGTGCATACAATATGCTTTGTGCTTGACTCTTTCACAGTATTTATCTTATGTGTAACGTTAGCAGCCCTTGCTGACAGCAAAATACCTGTTTCTTATTTGTAAACTGGCATTACAAACCAACAGTCATTTATCATATGCTTCTTTTTGGGCCCTGTAAGTATGCATGTTGCCTAACTGGAAGAGCAGAAGAAACTTTTTATCAGATGCCTCAAAATTTCCAGTCACATTGCTTTAGATACTGGGATAAAACATTAGTGTTAAGTATTTGTATGTTCAGAGACTTTTTTCCTGTTTATTGTTGCTGCTGTACAACTTCATATACATACATGTATAAGTATGTATTGTAAGTTAAGACTTAAGTCTGTAAGGTATTTTGTTGTTACTTGAAAAAGTACAGCAACAATAATAGTATTTGCAATTAATAAAACTAAAACAGTCCTTTTATTTGTTTTCAGAGATATAATAAAGCGAATAGATCAGTCAGAATTCGAAGGATTTGAATACATTAATCCATTGTTGCTGTCAACAGAAGAAACAGTATGAAGGAATGACATCTTCATTGTGGACAATGTGAATGACCTTTAAATTTATCCTTAACTACAGTATATGCATGCAAGGCTGGGGAACTGTAAGATTTTGGATGGAGACCAATGATTTAAAAAAAAAAAAAAAAGAATTGCTGCTGAAAATCAAAGAAGAGAAATAATGATTTTGGTGGGTGTCTTCTGCCACTTAGTGATTCTTGAGTTCTGGGCACTCACACAACTGGCTTCATTAATGAAGGAATTTGCATTTTGTGCCTGTTTCATGAAGGATTGATATGTTCATTGCATTCCTGGAAACAGAGATTCTGAACAACCTTGAGACCTACACACTTTCTACAAACATTTGATGCAATGAGCTACCATTTGAAGAATATTACAGTGTAACATCCTGAAGAATAAAGTATATTACGGTGGTGTTGAAGCTTATTTTTGATGCCTTTTTTCACAAGTGGTACCTGTCTAAACGTCTCAGATATATTTAAAAGGAGTTGTGTTTTATTAGCAATCAAAACATAAATTTGGGTACAAGATTTAAGTGCCTAAATGGATAAACTGCATTGAAGAATTATTACATATTTGGAACGTTCTTAAACCTGGTAAGTTCTGCTTGTTAATATTAAGTAACCATTTACATATGAAACACATGGTTCACAGCTGCAGCCTAATGTTCATTTGCATCTTTATAGAATTTGAAATGCAGAGTGACTCAGCAATATTAATTCCAAATCAGAATTTGCAGTACCAATTTCAAAATCCATTGTTTTAAATGCCAAATTTACGAAAATGTATAGATTGAAGAAAACTAAATTTGCACACAAAAGATTTCAGAAAAGACTTAAGCAGTGCCTAGACCTACAATGATGTTGTGTTGTGTATTAGATTTTTGAAGAGTATTTTTATCAACAATACAAATATTCAGAAATAGAGCAAAAGCATAATAAAGCATAGCCTTAAAGTTTAAGTAGTAAATCTAGAATAACCATAATATAAAATACACTTTCCTGATAAAGCACACCTCCTACTTACGATAAACTGTCTGCTTACAATTACTGGGTGTATGTTAATAACTAATCATTCTACATGAGAGAATGGGATGTTTTAGTAAAATTATTTGCATCAAAGTAGTAAATTTTTTTAATGGAAGAAATACCTAAGAAATTAGATAAAGCAAAAAATAACTATCCAATACCTTCTCATGGAAACTGGGGGGGAGGTGGGTGTCGGGGGGCAGGGAAAGGGTATATTACATCCGAAAGGTTAACGATTTATCAGCTTGGAAAAGCTCATGTCGCTACATCTGAGGATTAGTAAGTGTGCTTGCTATCTGAAATTTCAGGTGCTTGTGAAGATTTACCTGCCTCTGTAAGTAACAGCAGCAGAGGCAGTATTTCCGTTTGCTAGATTGCGGTTTAACAATATTGCGTGGGTTGTAGAGATGGGGGGGGGGCAGAATCATTTGGGAGGGAAGAATGAGAAACCCTGTGCCATGATATCTTACCTAATTTGGTGTAAAATGCAGGATAAATTGCAACCCTTTCACGTTCTTTAACATATGGTTTTCTCAGGGTACAGCATTGCATTAGGTGCTGAACGTGACATCTTTCGGATTCACATCCAAGTCATGAGGTGCTAGGACGAGACTGCCAAAATATTGTTTAAAGTTTTCAATTAATCATTGATTATCAATCTACATTTTGTATCCCCTCAGCCACAATTATGCAGACCTGTGGTTATTTAGTTATATTAATCCCATTCAGATTTAAGTTGTGGGTTTCTCTCCGTTGGACTGTAGCTTTTCATATTAAGCAAAATGTGTTTTAATCAGCACTAAATAATTTAAGTAGTAAGAAGTATTTGCCTCAAATGCCTGGACTTTAGCTACTTTATTATCTACTAAAGGAAACATGTACCTTTTTAATGTAATCTGTCATTTTTTAAATTACTCTTTTTTTTCCCCTTGTCCCTGGCAATTACTTTATTTACCCGGAGTAATTTTTCTTTCAGTGTTTTCAACTCCCCTGGTAATAAAACTAATCAATAGTTATCAGAGTGACTGCAGGCAGCTCATGAATGGATATATGACAGATTAAGCTGTTCTTTGACATGCCAGGGCATAGGCCTTTAAAATGAAATATTAGAAATGTGGGTTGGGGTTTTCTTTTTAACCTTTTTGTTTTTCCTAGGTTTCAGAACATTTTGGGAGGGAGGGAAGGAAGAACAGAAAGACACATTTGCTAAACAAATATTGTAAAGACTACTTGATTTTAAATATTTACAGGCATTTACAATGTTGCTGTGTTGCCAAATAGTTTGCCGGATACAAGTTTGGTTGCTCATGTGCAAGTGTTTGAATAATGTTCTGTTCATGATGAAGGGGAAATTTTTTATATAAAGTACTTCTTTTATAAATAAAAGAAAATGAAGGATGTAATTAAATGTGTGGTTTGGAAAAAATCCTAATATATTACAAATGGATCTGGTAATGATATATAGTTGTCTTATTTGAAATAGTAAATGAAAATTCTAGCTAATTTTATGATTGTAAAACAGTAAATATGTTCTTGTAGTTTTGTATAATTAATTAGTTGGGATCTTTGCTGACCAGTTTTAATTGTGCAGAAGATGGTATACTAATCCATAACAACTAAGATCATTTATATTCTTGCACATCTATTAAAGACTTTAATGAAAAAGTTAATAGACTGTTATTATTTGTCAGTAAAGTGAGCTATGTCCAACTTGCACTTTTCAAACAGACCCTATTGTAAATTAAATATATAGGACTCTTCCTACAGTTTGATACTGTATTTTATGCTTATTCGGTATCTTTGGATCGCACCTGAACTGTATGTTTTTGAGGTCCAGGGCAGAGGTTTGCTGAGATGAACGAACTTCAGTATCAGAATGGTTTTCTGAGCTGCACTCTTATTCACTGTATTTGAAGGCAGTTGTGATCACAATAGCTGAAACAGGCACAACTGTACTACTCTTGCACATAGCCCTTTGACAGGAAATGAATTTGAACTGTAAGGCTGTAACTGTAGACGTGGTGTACTGCATGAATAGGACACCCTGTTCAGTAAACCATTAACTGTATACTTGGGGAAATTAACCCACTCTAGTTTACTTCATCCCTCCCATCTGTTGTTACTGAACTAAGTGTCACTTAGCAACCTTTTCCATGAATGACACTTTTTTTCAAGCCTACAAACTGTTTACCTGCTGCTGTTAAGAAGTTACCAAAATGGTAGATGAGTCTTCTGAACACCTTCTAATGAAAACCCACTCTCAGCTGCTCTTTATTCTCAAATATTGATGGTTTCTAAGGGGGAGGGTTGGAACTGACCAACTATATTAAATCTTGTGAAACTAGCAGGAGAAATGTACTTTCTGGAGTCCAGTTAGTTGAGACTAGTCATGTTAATCAAGTGGATAGTGACTTAGAAACCTACAAACTAAGGTTATGAATTTGTGTTCCTTCTGAAAGATAAAGAAAACAAACACACCCTTTATTTGCTGTGTTTTCTTTTAACAGATGATTGTACAGTTAATTCTGTGAGTATATAGTGTGTGTATATATATATACTTAGCATATAACATTATTTTAATATCTATGCTTGAATGAAGTTTTTAATTAAGTTTATTTTCACAGATTACCTGTTTAGGAAAAAAGTTAGTAAACTTTTGGACTAGATGAAATAATAGTTATCTTTTGTTCAGCTGCTTTATTCTATACTTAGAGATTCAGAACAACTGTGGTGCATCAGACAAGACAGGTTCTTCAGGGACTTACAGCACTGCAGTTTTTCAGAAGTACTGAATTCCAGGAGTGCCAAGATGGATTTCCATGGGGGTCCCTGGGATATGCTGCAGCACCATTTTCAGAACTAAAACTATTTTACATGCATTTTTACATGCATTACGTAAAATAAAAAGACCCCAAACAGGCATGTGGCACATCACCTTCTATCGAGTTACTGGTTTGTGATCCTTAAGCAAGTCTGAGACAAGGATGTGCTTCCTTGACACACTTTTTTTTTCTTTTCCTTTGAGAAAGGTTCATCCTTGGCCTCGTTCCTTTGCTCTTCATTCTTGTGGATTTACCACATTACATCATCTGCACTTTCAGACAAGCATCTAGCAAGATGGCCATCAATATCCAATTGTGACAGTCTGCAAATACAGAGAATTTATTCAGTGAGAAACAAAGTTGAATCCTTTTATTTACACTATTACTCACTTTCACACTCTGATTTCCTAAGCAATTGCAGGAGGTGTTCCAGTAGCTTAATGGGTAAGTCATTCCTATGCTCAGAAGCACTGCAAAATCTGCCACAAACTCTTGCAGTTGCCATTACCTGCTGCTAGATAGTTTGATAATGTCATTTACTAGAATACAACACTCCATATGCTCAGGACAAGTAATGCTATCCTTGGAATGCTGTGCAGGGAGACTTTGAGACACAAACACTGATTTTAAGCATCCATTTCCATGCAATTCTCTGCTCTTGATTTTAACATCAATTTTCAGGGTAGGTTACAATCTAAGACAATTAAAACATTAGGCTATTGATAAAGGATAGAAAACCATTACCTTAGAAGATACAGGACATCAGATTTCTGATAGAGGAAGGATGCTTTCTCATATCTGCTTTCAGTTTCCTTTTCTAGAGGGCTATTTTTGTGATTGTGATGTGACCTTCCCCGCTGCCCATGTTACAATAATTTTTTTGTAAAGCAGCTTCTCTAAAAATTGAAACTAATCTTAATCAGCACAAAGTTACCAGTAACACAGAACTGAGTATGAAGACCTGACAGATGTTTAGCCTTTCTGTCTAAATATCTTGATATAATGACCACAATTTTGTAAATATTAATGAAGCCATCCTTTTGTCTCCTTGTTCACCCTCCAAAAGAAAGAAAACGAAGTTGTAGCCAATACATCTTGCAGTGTTAGAGGACCTGCTCAAAAGCACACACTTTCAGCAACTGTGACAGCCTAAATACTATTAAGTGGTGTAATTTCAAGAGCCAATATAATTCTTATTGTAGAGTAGGTATTTAATTGCTGGGAGGGTGGATTTTTTTTATAAAGGTAGCCTGACAGCAACAGAGGACTGTAGTCTCATTTGCTTAGCCCTTGTACTAATCAGGGCTTGCATAAAGGAAAATCGGCATGGTTCCAGCTTGCCCAGACCTTGAAAGCTAAAACTAAAGTTAAGAGCAGCCTAAAGCATCCAGGTACTTACTGAACAGTACCAGTATAGCTGTAACTGTACTAGATCTTAAAGAAAAAGTGACAGGTATGAGATTAATCCATCTAGCTCTAAAGTTAGCTTTTAACTATCAAGAATACTGCACTGGAACAGTTTTTGGATTATGATACAAATTTCACAAAAAAGTCTCTTCATACTCAAGTATTTTAA